CATCCAACAAAAGATTAATATCTAGAATAGGTAAGGAACTCAAACAACTTAACAGTAAAAAAACAAGTAACCCAATTTAAAAATGGGCAAAGGAGCTGAATAGGCATTTTCTCAAAGGAAGATATACAAATGGCCATCAGACACATGAGAAAATGCTCAACATCACTCAGCAAGCAGAAAATGCAAGTCAAAACCACACTGAGATATCACCTTACTCCAGTTAGACTGGCTATTATGAAAAAGAGAATAATAAATGCTGGCGAAGGAAGATATACAAATGGCCATCAGACACATGAGAAAATGCTCAACATCACTCAGCAAGCAGAAAATGCAAGTCAAAACCACATTGAGATATCACCTTACTCCAGTTAGACTGGCTATTATGAAAAAGAGAATAATAAATGCTGGCAAGGATGTGGAGAAAGGGGAACCCTCCTACACTGTTGGTGAGACTGTAAAATGGTGTAGCCATTATACAAAATGGTATGGAGGTTCCTCAACAACTACAGATAGTACTGCCATAGGACCCAGCAATCCCACTGCTGAGTATATATCCAAGGGAATGGAAATCATTCATCATGTCTACAGTATACCTGTACTCCCATGTTTACTGCAGCTCTATTTGCAATAGCCAAGAGTTGGAATCAACCTAACTACCCATCATATTAGTGGATAAGGAAAATGTGCCATATTTATAAAATGGAACACTACTCTGCCATAAAAAAGAATTAAATACTGTTATTTGCAGCAACATGGATGAACTTAGAGAAAATTATGTTAAGTGAAATAAGCCAGGCACAGAAAAAGAAATACACTTGACTGCATCCTAGCAAAATACTCATGATCAAAAGAGGTACAGACTGATTCACTTCACAACCCCATTCTCATATGTCCTGTCAATGATGATAATACTTTATTTTTCACAGAAACAGAACCATCTTTCATGATGAAACACATCATTATATGCCAGTTTATACCTGATAATTGTAGTAAGACATGAAGGAATCAAACATAACCTCAGCACTATAGAAGTAGAGGAACAAAGGAGGCCACAACAGAAATAACTGTTTCTATTACCTCTATAGTCTGTTGCTTCTTATGTACTAGGTGGTTAGCAAGCATTATTTTATTTAATCCTTACAATAACATTAAGATTTTCTATTCTTAAATTACATTTTATTGATGAAGAAAAACACTCAGATCCATTAACTGATTCCTAAGAACACAACAACTTATAAGTGGCAGAGAGATTTAAACCCAAATCTGTCTCTCTGAAACTTGTGCTCTTTCTGCAGGTTATGCTGCCTCAGCAATCAATATCAGGGTTAGAGGCAATATATAAAAGGAAGCTTTTCATGAATTTATAATTATATGGTATCTTGGAGTCCATAACTCATTCTGGGTAAGAAATGTGTTTGCACTCCCTTGAACCAGGTGGTTAGGAGAAGATGGAATAGTGATTTATGATTAGGGTTTAGTCTGAAATCCTTAGTTTCCTCTGCCCTTCTGATTTTGGTTTCATGATATATTTTTTTTTGTTTTTTGCTAGTCTTATGTACCTTTGCTTCATCCTTACTACCGAATGATTCTAGGTTGTCTATTATTTTCTCTCAGCACCTCCAAGATACTGTTCTACTCTTTTCTGGATTCTGTTGTTCTAGTAAATTAGCTGTAACAGCTACTAAATTACTGTAGAAAATCAGCTGTCGATTTACTAATCATTCGTTTGTTAGTAAGTCTGTCTGCTTCTCTCTGGCTGCTTTACGTATCTTCTCATTGTCTTTGGTGTTCTATAGTTTCACTATGAAGGGTCTATATGTTGATTTCTTTTTATTTATCTTGCTTGGGATTTGCTGAACTTGAAGATTTATGATACTGATTCTGGAAAATTCTAAGCCATTATCCCTTCAGACATTGCCTCTACCTCATCCTCACTACTTCTTTCTGGAAATCTTATTACAAGTGTTAGGTCTTATTACTCTATCCTCCATGTTTCTTGCATATTTTTCTATCTTACTCTTTGTGCTACAGTCTGTGGAAGTTCTGTTGTTCAATTGTGCAGTTCACTAAACTCATCTACTATATCTAATTGTTTGACTCTTCATGCTCTGCACTTTTTAATTTTACCAGCTTCATTTTTCATTTCTAAAAGTTCTAGCTGGTTCTTTTTGAATACTACATGATTAGTGGTAATAGTCTCTCATTTTCAACTCATGTTATTAATTCATTCTTATTTTCTTAAGTATTTAAAACATAATTATTTTTATCCTGTATAAAAATAATGAAGTCCTAGGGGTGAAATTCTGCTGCTATTTGTTTCTGCTGACTTATTTCCTCTTGTTGTTCTCTAATTTTTCTTGTGCACTAATAATAGTCTGATCTGTACCTGTGGGAATTTTGAGGATTTCAGGTTGAAAGTGTGTTCCTCCATTAAAAATTTGTGTATACATCTGCTAAGCAGCCTGGGAAACCAATAAGGAGAGGTCATTTTATTCCTTTGTTTGGAGTTTCTGAGAACACACAGGTGATATATTTGAATTCTAAATTCTTATGTGGGTAGGACTGTGGTTACAAATTCTCAGAGGACTCTGTTTTTCTCTCCTAAATCACTGTGACAAGAAGTTAAAGAATCACAAGATACCCTTACATCTCCCTTTGTTATTGAACAGATTTATTTCAAGGCTTCCCATTTCCCTGATAATATAGCTGTTCAGAGTCTGAGCCAATAGGCAGGGGTCTCAGTTCCAACTCAATTTATGAACCCAAGACCCTGTCTTCCATCCCTGTGTAACCATCAAAATTCCTGTGCAGCTCTAAGTTCCTAGTATCTATATAAGGGCTTGGAGAAATGGCGGCTTCAGAGCTAGCTTATCACTCTGGATTGCTGCTTCCACCTACTTTTTTATTTTATATTTTTAATGTGGAAATTTCCTTGTAAACTAATCTGCTCATTTAAAATGTTGTTTGTTGTATTTGACCATGCATTTTGGGGAGTATCTATCTTTCATTTCCAGATAGGAAGGAGGGAACACAGAAAGGTCCTTTTACTAATTTCATGTCTCCTTTGGAATAGAAGCCTGAATGGCCTTGTATACATCTGATCACAGAATAACACTTGACGTTTACTACCATATTGTACATAAAAGATACATAACGTTCAGGATGAGGTAAAATCAGTCATTTAGAAATTTTTTTTTTTTTTTTGTCTTTTTTCGTGTCCGGCAACAGACTGCAACCCTCAGTGTCGCGCCCGTACCGGACCGGGACCGGCAACGGGATCGCAACCCTCGGCACTGCGCCCGCCCCTCACTCAGCCAGTGAGCAGGAACCGGTCTGTATGTGGGATCCAAACCCTCGGCGGGAGCGCCGCCGCACTTCCCAAGTGGTGCACTGTAGCAGTGCGCTGCCGGGCTGGCCCAGTCATTTAGAAATTTTAGTTAAGACCATTTCTCCTGCTGGCACTGAATCAGTGAATTTAAGAGCCAATGAAGAGGAGACAGGGATTTTTAAAGGGAAAAATAAGGTGGTTAGAAAAATATCTAAACACTTAAGTCCAAACTTCTTTGTTTTTAGTGTATATACATATTGCTTATTTGTTTTGTAGCAATTGGAAGAAAAAGACATAATCCTTATTGATCATCTATCACACTTACTGTGCAAAGAACTTTACTCATGTTAATTCTTAGCCCTATGAATCACTGTACAGATTAGAAACTGAGGCTCAGAGGTGGGAATTTGCCCAAAGATCACACAGCCAACAGGCCATGGAGCTAGGATTCAAATCTAGATACTGCCTATGCTATTTCCATACTGCTGATCAAGGCCTCTGGCAATAAAGCCTTGAATTACAAAATTCAGTGAACTAAATAGTGGAAGATTCTGGTTGAACAAACCAATTTATTACTAATTTGAGTGTCAAGGTAAGAAGTTACACAAAAGAAATGACTGTCATTCCTATATAGAAAAGGGTTATGCAAAGCATTCCTGCTACTCTGATTCCATTTCTAAAATTTTCAAAGGGTGCTCTTCTGAAAGAACCTTAGGAAGTAAAAAGATGACTTTGAACAATGACCACATTTTGTAGAGCCCCATCTCAGAGATAAGGGGAAGAAATGGGTTGTACTTTAAAAGAAGTTCAAAATAAGAATAGGGGTATATCTATGGTGAGGGGGCAAGGAACAGTGATGAAATCTGGATGTGTTGTTCCCTCCAAAACTCATGTGGAAATTTGATTCCCAATGTGGCAGTGTTGGAAACTGATTGGGTATGGGGGCAGATTCCTCTATTAGTTCCTGCTACAACTGGTTGTTTATAGAACCCTGGCACCTTCTCTCTCTCTTGCTTCCTCTTGCCATGTGATCTGCTTGTACCTGCCAGCTGCTTGCCACTTTCCACCATGAGTAGAAGAAGCCTGAGGTCCATGCCAGATGCAGCTGTTCCAGAATCATAAGCAAAATAAACCTCTGTTCTTTATAAATTACCCAGTCTCAAGTATTTCTGTTATACCAACACAAAATGGACTAATACAAACGGGAAGGTTCAAGGCACATGGGAGACAAAGCTAGGAGGGAAAATTTCACTGTACAACTTTTTACATTTTCTAATTTTTAAATCATGTGAATATATTACTTATTCAAAAAATTAAATTCTAAAAAACTATTCTAAAAATCAACCCTATCATAGTGCTGTAGCTAATCTGCCTATGAAACAACAGAATAAGAGATTAATGAAAACTAAACAAAGAGTAAATAAAGTTCTCTCAATTCTACAATGCTTACTCCTTACACTATGAATTTTCTCTAAAAACATGTCAAATTTTTAAGGGAAGATCACTGATTCTAAAGAACTAAAGTAAAACCTTTAGAGTGGCTAGACCAGGAGGCCAGTGAAAGTGAGAAAAATATAGTGACTTATTTAAATCTATTTGTTGAAATACAAATAGAAAAAAAAAGTACATGTGCATCACACATCAACTCCTGTTTAGCACCAACACCACTTACCTTTTGGAATGGTAGGCTTAACTGCCATTCTGCCAACCAGGCATTCTTTCAGCATGGATTCATAATTGACCCAACGATGAACCTGGTATAAAAGATAAATGACAGAAAAGCAATATGACTGCTAACTCCACAGGATGGTCTTATTATATTATGAGCAAAACTATACCTTAAACCACTCTGAACACACATAAAAACTAAGAAGTAAATTCAATTAGCCAACAAGAGAGTGACAGAAAAGCAGCATGGATAGGGATTGTTTAGAAGTGTTTTCAAAGTGCTGTCTACAGACCTCTGGAGGTTGCTGACATCCTTTCAGGTATCCGTGAGATCTCAATTTTGTTTCATGATAATAATATGTTATTTGCCTTTTTCACTGTTCTGACATTTGCACTGATCTACACAAACAATAGTAATAGCACCAATCAAGGCATGGCTCCAAACGATACAGAACTAGTAATCATGTTCTTCACCACCATGGACCCACAAATTGGGGGGAGCGGGGAATACTTAAGCATTTTAAAAAATATCCTTTATGAAGTAGAAAAATTATTAATTTACTTAAATCTGGACTCTGGTCTTTTTTTCTATTTTGTGTGACAAAATGGGAAATTCTCAAAAACATTTCTGCTATAAATTTTGATGGCTGCCCCAAGGAAAAACACTAAGGCAATTGTTTGATTTGCAAATTGAACTGGGCTTTTTTCAAGAAAGACCATTTGTACACAAAAGAATGATAAACAAACTGATTATTCAGACTTGGATACTTAACAGACATTTCCTTGCATATTAACAAAGTGAGAATGTCACTTCAAAAAAAAACAACTGATAGTATTTGTTGCCATACACTACTGGTGGGAATTAAATTTAAACAACCTTTCTGGAGGGCACCTTCTCAATATGCATTAAAAGTCTTAAAATATGCAGCTCTTTCATGCAAATATTTAGAAATTTACTTTAGAAAATATTTGTATATACACAAAAATGCAGGTACCTAGACACTCATCATAGAACTACTTAAATTAGCAAAATATTGGAAACAATTTAAATGTCCAATTGTAAAAGACCAGTAAAGGAAAATCATAATACGTTGTTCAATAAAATCATTATATAACCTGCATATATGGATATATAATTATCATATAATCATTAAATAATCATTTAACTATAATATTCTATGATCTATATATACAGATATATAATCATTAAAATAATCGGGTCATATAATATTATGGTATGTTCCTGAGTAAATAAATATACAATAAAATAGCAAATACATAAAAAATGTACATGTATTTATAAATGGGCACTCATTTACTAACATAAATTGAAATTTCATTTACCAAATATTTATACAGCATCCACTAATGTGAAAGCACTATCTCTGGGGCTATAGAGTTGGGTAAAACAGATAAAGGAGAAAGATATTCAAGGATGCAAAGGTATGGGGTTTGTCAATCATAGGACTGGTGAAAAATAGCAGGCCTTTGAGTTTGCTCAAAGCAAGATGCATGTTAAGAATATCTACCCTAATATACTCTTCTTAGGGCCTCAAGTGCCAGGCAAATACTATAAATTTATTCCACTGTTAATGGTGAGCCACTGAGAATAGCAGAGTGAGGTGCTAAGACAACCGTCTTTAAGAAAATGAATCTAGCTGTCACATTACCTAAATTGGTACTGAAGGTAAAAATACTAGGACAGTGTTAAAACAGTAGGGGCAGAGAGAGGGATGATGACTTGAATAAATTTATTCCACTGTTAATGGTGAGCCACTGAGAATAGCAGAGTGAGGTGCTAAGACAACCATCTTTAAGAAAATGAATCTAGCTGTCACATTACCTAAATTGGTACCGAAGGTAAAAATACTAGGACAGTGTTAAAACAGTAGGGGCAGAGAGAGGGATGATGACTTGAACTAAGACAGTGGAAAGGGAGAAAAAGACACAATATTTAAAGACAAATCACAGAATTTGGCCAGTTATTAGATATTGGGGCAAAATGAGAAGGCAAGTAACTCAGTGGCTTCAAGTTCCTCTTACCAGAAACAGAAAACAGAAGGAAAAAGAGGAAAGAAGATTGAAAACCGAGATGCCGGTACGGTTCAAGCTTTATTGAAGAAAGAAATCTGCCAGGCTGTACTCAAAATGGAGGACAGCCCAGGGCTGCCCTGAAAATGGGGGACAGCCACTAACATAGGGTGGAGGGAACTTATATTGGTATGTTGGCACCAAGAGCTGGGTGATGTAATTCCGGGGTGGGGATTGAGTTAGGTCATGGGAATGGAGAGTTCTGCGCATGTGGAAACGTGGAAAGTTTCATTTTCCCTGAAACCATGAGGCTTCTTGTAAAAGAGAACAGGGGAAGGGAGGGGAGGAGAAGAGGTGGATGGTGCCATTTTGTACTTGGGCTTGCCAAAATGGTGCTGGTTATATTGCAGATCTATTATTCCTGCCTTTTAAGTATAGGAAAAATGGAAAAAGGGAAGAGGTCTCATTCTTCTGAAGCTACTTCCTCCTGAAGATAGGTGAAGATATGGAAAAAAATAAAAGATTTATGTTGGCGGGCAAAACAATTAGGTGTTGGGGTATTGATTTTGTGGGGGGAGAGTGTATTCCTCTGGGGAAGGGTCGCTGATTCCGAGGGGCCTGATATCCTCCTCATAGGAACAATTCGGTGACCTTTTGGTTGGTGAAAGTCTATATACATTCCTGCAAGAAATTAGAGAAACACCAAAAGAGACAGGGACCAAAAAGTAGGATGAGTCCCAGCACAGTTAGGGGTACTAGCAGGGGCATAAGCCAGGGTATCCAAGGGTTTAGTGAAATGGTTTAAGCTGTTTTGGATCACCCCAGCCTCATTTACATAATAACAGCATTCCTCCCCCAAGAAGAGGCAGGTGCCTTCCTTCTCAGCTGTAAGGAAGTAAAGGGTCCAACGGTTCTGTAAAGTGTTCTGTAAAGTGACTGTTGCAAATGAGGTGACCTGTCACTGAAGGGAGGAAATGCTATCTATGCTTAGTTCTTCTGAGAGTTTTTGATAGAATTGAGAGGCAGCAGCAGGGCCCACTATGCCAGTTCCAGTTGCAGGAAGGATCCCTGCGCCCATTAAAAAGGCACAATTAGGCCCTACAGGAGCAGGGGGCACTTCCTGAGATGGGGGCCGAAATTAGTCCCAGTTCTGTCTCCATCTCTCCATCTGTCTGGAGGGTCATGTCGGTGACAAGCCAAAAGAATATGCAAGATATCGTGTTGGGGGGAAGGCAACAGGATAACATGGTTTTTTTTTTTTTTTTTGTCTTTTTTACTGACCGGTAACGGGATCGCAACCCTCGGTGTCGCGCCTGTACCGGGGACCGGCAACGGGATCGCAACCCTCGGTGTTGCGCCCACACCGCGCTCAGCCAGTGAGCAGGAACCGGTCTCCACATGGGATCCAAACCCTCGGCGGGAGCGCCGCCGCGCTCCCAAGTGGCGCACTCTCCAGTGCGCCACCGGGCCAGCCCAGGATAACATGGTTTTACAAAGGAAATATATTCCAGTTTTAGGGCATGGATGAGGAGGGGTGAGTGAGTGGCAGCATTTGGTGGGGTTAGTGAGGCAGAGTCTGGGCAGACCCCACACAATGCTGACAGTCCTCACTGTGGTGAGATTAGAGGAAAGTGAAAAGACGTTTGTGGAAACGTTGCGGGCTGCATCGACAGCGAGGGGGGTGACCACAAAAAGTTTCTCACAAAGTGGGAGACAGATGAGTCGTTTGGGGACCAGTCTGATTTGCTGAGGACAGCATCATCCCTGCAGACCTGGAACCTCCATGTTCCAGGTAAGGGGAAACATTGAGATAAGAGGAAAAACACGGGAAGGATGCGAAGGGTTAGGGAGCCAAAAGAATTTAAAGGGGACGTTGCCACAGTGAAATTGCTAAGAAGCATCCTACCGATAGGAGGTAAAGGAGTGCCTGAGAAATCTTCCTATAATGTTACACTCCTTTGGGGCAGCA